TCGCGTCGCTGCCTGTTTACCTGCCGCGGTCGCGCGTTCCAGCGCGCGGCGTAGAACGCCCTTCAGGGCAGCTGGTAAGCGCTCCGCGCCCATCAACTCTTCGATGCGGATGTACGCCAGCTGGGCCGGCGCCTTTACATTGTTCTCTGCGAGGCAGTCGGCCCCTGCCTTGAATTCGATGCCTGGCCACTCAGCACCGAGAGCGGGGCCCTGTTTCAAGAACCCAAGCAGCTCGGCACCCGCCATGGGGGCGAACGACGCTGGCTGAGCAGCCACGCTCGCGGGGAAACAGTTGATGCGTCGGTTCGCTGCGCGACAGCGCGCAGAAGCTAGACCCGCCAGAACACGGCGTTCGCCCGGCATACAAACCAGGAAGCATACTCGATGGTACGAATGCGACCCCACGGGGTAGCATAGCGGCCCACGGGGCCAGCAGGGCGCGGACCGGTCCCGGACCGAGCTGGCCACTCTAGGCACGACGACCCACGAGTCCACGCTGGGGCGACAAGGAGACCTGAGCAGGCGCCCGTAGCTGACCGGCAAGGGCCCTTCGAATATTGGCCGCACTGGGCACAAACGAGAGCTCCAGGGCCACCGCGGGCCAGCCGAAAGTCCGCTATGGGACCGAGAAGTACAGCTAAGGCGCAGGTCGCGATCCACAGAGGATGATTGGTCTTGGCCGCTACGGACACTCACCGACAATACAAAGCCACAGAAGGCCGACCCATGAGACCACACAGGTACGAGAAGGAAACCTAAGCAGGCTCCCGAAGCAGACCAGAATAGGTCCATCGAGCGATTGACCGCCAAGGGCCATAAACGATAACCCCACGGCCGCCACGGGCCACCCGAAACTCCGCGATGGGAACAGGGAAATCACCGGCAGGCGCCAATAGTGAACCCAGGAGGAGCATGCGTCCTGGCCGCTATGGGCACGCACCGACATCGCAGGGCCACATAAGGCCACACGACAGGGCCGCTCGCGGGCCACAGAAGAAAACGAAACCGCGACCGCGGACGCCCGCCGCACTATGGCGAACGGACACGCCGCGCGTCGCCCCAAAGGTCAGCCAAAGCTGCGCTATGGCAAGCAGAGGAGACATCCTGGGCGGACGCCTTACCCCCAGAGTGCCACTATGGGCAGATAGGGCGCCACATGCATGACCGGGCACTTGATATCCCGCCCCGCGGCCAGGCGGCAGAGTGGAGACGACGCGACCGCGCGCGGAGGTGAAGAGTGCAGGAAGAGGACCCTGACGCACGGCCGCGCGGCGTGCGAGCAAGCCCGCGAGGGAGCCAGGCCCGCCCGACGGAACGGCGCGCGGCGGGTGGTCATGCAGCCGCCCGCCGTCGCGCTCTGCGACGCCGGCGGGGCGCTTCCCCCGCGACTGTCGACTCATGACTTGCAATGACAAACTATTACTGCCCCAGAATAATTAGACTCGATCGCTCACAGATAGGACGGCGAACGTAGCACAAATCGTGAAAGCGAGTTCTACGTATAGAAAATGTTTTCCATGTGTTGGATCGAAAACGTTGTTTATCGAACCTGGCTTGTGCTGTGTTGGTCGCGTTTGGCGCGGATCCTATCGACCCCGCCGGCCAAGGGGATACAAGAGGAAACAAAGAGAAAAGGGTGTATTGGAGAAACCTGTCCCCTCACAGCGCCGCCTTAGCGGCGAGAGAGGGGGGCTCCCCTGATTTGTGTTATGTGAACCGCGTGTTATGTGAACCGTTCCGCCGACACCAATTCAGGAGGGGGAGGAGGGAGGGAGGGGGAGGGAGGGAGGGGGGGAGGGCAAGCTAGGTGCGCTCGCGTCATATTTGACGTCCTACCCCTCCCTCCCATCCCTTACCATGGCGCTGATTTTCTCTATCTGCGGACGCGTGTCGTAGCGGACCTGTGGCTCCGCGCGCGCGTGCGTAGTGGGTGGTGGTGCGCGTGCGTGCGTGCGTGCGTGTGTGCGTGGTTGTGGTGGTGGTGGTGGTGGTGGTGGTGGTGGTGGTGGTGGTGGTGGTGGGTGGTGGTGGTGGTGGTGGTGGTGGTGGTGGTGGTGGTGGTGGTGGTGGTGGTGGTGGTGGTGGTGGTGCGGCGCGGTGGTGGCGGGCGGATGGGCGCGCGAGAAAGAGGCCCGCGCTGGGGCGAGAACGCCATCCTGAACGACGGAGGCCAAACACCGATCCGAAAATGAGGCCCACGCTGCAGCGGGAGCACGATTCGGAACGATTCGGGAGCAGAAATGAGGCCGGCGCCTCAGCGAGAGCAACATTTTGAAAAAAAACGCAAGCGAAAACCCGGTTCCCGGGAATCCTGTGTATAAAAAATAGTACGCGGGGGGGTGTCGGATATCTTCGGGACGCCATCAGGGGAAGTGGGAGAATATTTTCATATTGTGTAATTGCAGAGAGCGAGAAGCGGGAGGAGAAGGCGGAGGAGGAGGAGGAGGAGCCACGCTGATGGCGGCAGTCGAGAGGAAGAGGAGGAGGTGGAGGAGGAGAAGGACGAGGAGGGAGAGGAGGAGACACGCGGGACCAACATAGCACAGGTCAGCAGGATTGGGGGCATCGCCCCCAATCTTGCTGACCTGTGTTATGAGGGGATACGAGGAGGAGGAGGAGGAGGAGGAGGAGGAGGAGGAGGAGGAAACGAATGTGCGCGGCGCTCAAGCGAGAACCACATGTTGAAAACCACCCGCCCTCAATCCGTGAAACTCTTGCAAAAAAAACATGGATGCGCGCGGCGCTAAGGCGAGAGCCACATGTTGAAAACCACCCGCCGTCCATCTATGAAACGACTGTCACTTCTTAAGCTTCAGAGTCATCAACGGTGGGGCAGTCTCAGGCGAAACGCGCGGCCCGCCCTAAAAACTGGCCTCGGGGTGCGACAGGGAGGATCATGGGGGGGAGGGGCGAGGATAGCACAGCGCGCACATAGCACAACACAGGGAGCGGGGATAGCACGCAGAAGCTTGGACAGGGGCCGTTCTCGATCTCCCCGGAACACAAAAAGGCGAAAGTAGCCGAGGCATCAAAACATTGGGTTCAGAAAATACGAAGAAACACGACGTTCGAAAATTTACCAAACGTCAAACGCGATGCCCTACGATAGCACAAATCGGTTTTGGCCTGTGCTATCTCAAAGCGACCGAATATACAAGTCGAGGCCGGGGGGAAACCTACTAACAGAGAAACCTGTGCTCAGGCCCTTGATGGGAACAACACAGCCTAACTGCACGAGGAGCGCTCGAGAAACAACCATGGAAGAACCCCGTACGGAACAGCGAGCCCATTCCGAACCGTAACTGCTCCTCATCCCAGCGCCTTGACTTCACCACCGATCCACACACACTTCCCCTGTACTACCGATTCCCTGGTGTTGCAGCACACCGCGCCCGCGACATGCTCCTTCAGGTCGTGCTCGTTGCCTCCTCCTCCTCCTCCTCTTCCTGCTGCTGGTGCTGAATCCTCCCTCGTCATCCTCCCCCTACTGCAAGTACCCTTCCTCCTGCTCCTGCCTCCAATGTCTTGCAAAGTTCCTCGCTGCCATGTCCAGCTGAAGGCACTGCACCGCGTGGTAGCACACGAAAGGAAGACAAACATCCAACAAACGAATGCAATACCAAATCAGCGGCAAAAAATATGCTCTGTCCAGAGGCGTGATCACAATCTACATCCGCTACAGCACCTCCATGGTACGCTGATGCACGCTAGAATCTCTCTGGGTTGTCTGGTACCCGTAGAGGCTTGCCATTCTCCAGGGGTATACCCGGCTCACATCTGACACAGTCAGCCTCCTGACCGCAATGGGAAAAGAGACGACGAGTGCGGCGCTGCGGCAGGTCAGCAAATAGTCAGAGCACGAGTTCAGCTAGCCGCTATGCGCATATGCTTCCCCTGGCCCCTGCGATGCCAAACAGTGTGCGCCCCCTTTGCGCTGATTAAACACGCTGGCCCGTCCAGGACTCAGGGAAAAGGAAGAGGGACGAGGGTGGAACCGCCCAGATGCCTCGAGCCAGAGGATGGAAGTGAAGAGAGAAGGAGGGAGTTTTGAGGACTGGGGATCGACATATCTGGACGTTGCTGGACGCTCTCGCCCCTTCCTGGGCCTCCGGGAGGCCTGTGGGGGCCTCCAGGAACCTCTGGGAGCCTCTGGGATCTCTGGAGAAGTGGGGGGGGAAGGAGGAGAGCCCCAACAACAATCAGTAATACCCCAAGAAAGACCTGCAACGCCCCTCCCAAGAAGATCCAGGAGTCGCCGGAGCACCTGCACAGGAGGGCGACTGGGAAGGAAACCAGGTCATACCTCGTTTGCATTGAAGTTGTGCTTGCTGCTTCCTCTAGGAAATGGAGTGGGTGTGTCGAGGTTCCGTCCGGAGGGCGCGTCGTGGGCGCCTCGCGTGGGTGGGTGTGCCGAGGTTGCGCTCGGTGTACGCCCGTGGGCGCTTCGTGGGGCCTCGTGCGCTGGGGTGCGTGTCTGGTGGGCGCCCGTGGGCGTCTCCTGGGCGCCTCGTGCGGGCGGATGTGCCCGGGTTGCGCCTGCACGGACTCCCGTGAGCGCCTCGTGGGCGCCTCGTACGCTGGGTGGGTGTGCCAAGGTTTCGCCCGGTGGACGCCTCGTGGGGGCCGCCCCCACCGCTAACTTGCACCTCTTGCCTGTCGCCTCCCAACTCTCTCTTTCTCTCTATCCCTCCCTGTTTCCTCCATCCTCCTTCTCCATTGCTCTCTCTTTGCCTTCCCTGCCAATTGGGAATAAAGCAGAATGTGACGCGCACGCAGATTGCTTTTGCGAGTCAGCGACGCGTGCGCGGCGCACATCTCATACCGTGCTGGCTCGTGCTCGCGGGGCTCGAAAATCCGCATCAACATCGCAACACGGATTCGAAATCCCGTCCCTTCGCGGGATCCCTCGACTTTCAGGGCCGCCTGAACTACTGTATATACAGTCTGGCGCCGCCGAGGAAAAATGTTAACGTACATGCTCGAATGGCTTCCACACCAGCTCACTGTTGCCACATGTGGTCGGCAACGAACGCGAATGGATCCTGCTACCGAATAGATCTGAATAGGAATGGAGATGGGCTGCTGAAAAGCGTGTGACTGGATCATGGGATGAGGCAGAACGAATTCACAACAAAGGCACGCCAAGGGACGGATGCATACGACAACTCCGATGTTGATGCATGTGCTACGCAACACGTTCACTGAATTATGCAGCCTTGAAACAAGAGGCTCTGATCCACTCTCACATGAAAGCAACCACGCTCTGCAGCTGCATACTTGACCCAACACTCAATAACTCAATATTGAATTTCTGTCCTTCACCACATTGCTCCTTACGGGACACATGCTGGGGAGAAGAATGCAATGGCCGCTCAACGACACCAGTTGTGGGCACAAGTGAGAAGCCACTGCTTCAACACTTTACCAACCCGCTCTACATCTCGTCGTCGAAAGCAGGAGAGCCGAGGGAATCTCAACACTCGCACACGTGGGACACACTTCAGCTTGTTCAAAGACCTATGCACCAGGTCCCTGCCACACTGCATCCCAATATCCCCCGAACACCGTGGCCGACTTGCGCGGTGGCGCAACTGGATGCCGTCATAGATGCTGAAGCACACGTTCGCTAAAGTAGTTCTGACACTGCATTACTCCTTGCTTGTATCCAGCTTTGGCAATTCTGCTCCGTGGTCGAACGAGTCGTTGGCCCAGCAGGCAAGGGTCTGTTGGACCATACAGGAAGATGTTGTGTGTATCTTCGTGGTTTGCTGCTTCGCGCGCGCGTCAGTATGGCTGCCCCCACGGGTCCCGCAGTACAAATCCATGGCTGGCACGACATAAGAAGTGGCAGATGAGCAGTTGACCACATTTGCGGGAGCAAACTTGCATCTAGTATGGCCCAGCCTGAAGATGGTCCCAGGAGTCCAGTAGAAGGTCCCAGGCGCCTCCACGACAGCCAAATTGACTTCCAGTGTGGCCCAGCATGGCCGAAACCAACTCAGAGCCCCCGCGAGAACCAAACTCACAGAAAACACACAATGTGTCAAATAAGCTGCACATTTTCGCCCTAAGGGTTGGTTGCCCCATGATGGCTCAATCTCTCCAAGAAGACGTCAAATGGCCCCAAGATCGCCGCAGGAGGCACCTCTCGTTGGCCCCAAGACAACCCGAAAACCCCCCAGACCACCCAAAGCTGGCCCAAACTTTGCCCAAACAGAGCTCCAAGGACTACCAAACCCCGCTCTGTGGATCTCCAGGGACTCACGGACGGCAGAGTTGATTCCTACTATGTCCAAGTGTTGACGTATTGCTCACAGGCTGCGACACGAACATCGCAAAGTGTGCGTTGTCACGGAGTTGGCGTTGCCCGAAATTGCCCCAACAAAACAATGCTTGGCGCCAAAATCGCGCCCCGGAATTCCGACAATGGTCGCCAACCAGCCCCGACGCCCCCTGGGGACAACGAACAAGACAACCGCTATCTACAACCAAGTGCAAGTCGCAGGTAGTCCCTGGTACCAAGATGATCCAAAATGGTTGCAAGGTTCCATGGAAATGTTTGAATTTGCCCAAAACAACAAAAAAATGCCAAAAAATGCGAACAGGCCTCGCAAGACCGCACCAGAAGTGTTAACTCAAAACTCGGCCGTTGCCTCCAAAAACCCTCCCAGCCCGATGTAGGACCTAGAAAGGCCCCTGGGAACTTCTGTGTCTCCAATATCAACCCACGAAGCTCCGACATAGTCGACAGCCTTCCAGAAGGACCCCCAATAGTGGGCTCAAGTGGGTCCAAGCTAAGTTTCCTGTCTGTCGCCCACATCACGGCGGGGGTGGATACTCACCCCCGAGTGGTGCATCATCAGGCGCCTACGAATTCACAGTGTTGAGTATGGGACAGTGGATACTCTTCAAAATGCCCAGACCAAGGAGTTCTGGGCGCTGCTGGGCGTTCCTGCGACGGTTCGCGTGACTTTTCCTACGGTAGCACAAAATTGAAACACCTTGTGCGCTTCAAAGTCTTCGGCCCCGAAGGCGGTAGCAAGAAGAAGCCTTGGGAGCGGCACGGGGGCGGGATGGGCCGCTAGGTCCGCCACCGCGCCGCTTGGGAACTTGAGGCGCAGTAGAATGCAAAAGGTTGCCTGGCAACATTTCTGTAGGTCTTCAAATTCCCCCCCCTCTCGACTTTGGACGCCCGAAATGGGTACGGACAAAAGTTGATACAATGCCCAACAACAGACGTTGTCCGAAACCAACAGCGGCCGCTGTTGGGCAGGCGGCCTTCTGTCTCAAATTGGGCACCGTCCGCGGCAACACCGACAGCGAGTCCTGTTCAGAATGGACAGGACCAGCTGTTCGTCGTTGTACCCATTATTTCCGTACCAGCTTCCACCGTCCCGATCGACGTAGAGTTAGAGGCCTCCTAGATTGGGTCCGAGCAGATGGGGTCGGAGGATTTCGCCGCATAGCCGATACATCGACGATGTATCGCCGATGCATCAGCGATGTACTGGCGACGTCGGCGATGCATCCGCGACGTCGGCGTGGAGAAAATTGGGCCCCGCATCGAGCCGCATCGCCGATGCTTCGCCGATGCGGCGCGATCCTTCGACCCCATCTGGGAAGCATAGAATTTCGATCGTCCCGATCGACGCAGAGAGGGACACGCATCACCGACCCTCCGGAAGCGCCCTGGCGGGTCGACGCCTCCCAGGCGCTCTCCCAGGCCCCCCGAGGTTTCCAACTCGGCGGCGGAAGGCCGCCCAGGCTACATTGCCTTACAGTAGGGGCGCGACCACAAGAAACCTCACACAACAAAAACCAAACCCTGAGAGGAACGTCACGCTTTCCAGAGCAAAACCATCGAAACCCAAGAAACCCAGGGCGCCCTGGAGGCAAGCAGGGTGTTCCTGGCATGGGTTTCCACTGTAATCTGCCCCCGGCAACTCCCAAAAATGTCCTCCAAGAGGGACCACCCAAGGCCCAGCTGACGGCGATGTTGCTTAACGGTGATGTTGGGAGCCAGAGTGCAGGAAATCACGAACCACACGTTCCTACATCTCCAATCTGCGAATGGATCGAGCGAACACGACACCGCGAAGTGTAGGAAAGCGCGAGCCACGCGTCCCCACACTACCGAAACCTACATCACCATTGCCGACATCGCCGTTAGCCCGTCTACGGCCCATGAGGCATCGAATACATGTCTCCAATAGGGCCTCGGGGAAGCCAATGAAACGCCAAAAGACCACAATGCGGGCCTTCAGACTCCCCACAACAGCCCAGGAAAGCCTCAGGAGGGCCCCAAGACGGCCCAGGAAAGTCCAGGAGGGCCCAAAGATGGCCCAAGACGGTTCCAGGAGGCTCCGAACACAGCCCTGAGAAACCCCCCAAACGGCTGAGAGTGGCCTAGGACGGCTCAAAACAGCACCAAGACGGCCCTTGAGCTCTCGAACGGGCCCCACAGGAGCCCAATGTAGCCCCAAGACGGCCCAAGCCCCCCCCCAAGAGATCCACTGAAAAACAAAATCGACCCACGAACCCGGAAAGGAATATAGACATGCAACGCATGGCAACGTTTTCAAAGACACCTGATTGGGCGACGGGCAGATGCAATGCCGAGTGTATCGATCTTGATGTACCCTGCCGAAGGCTGTGCTGTGCTGCGCAGTGCTGATCTGCGATGTGCCATGCCGCGATTTTATTATTATTATTATTATTATTATTATTATTATTATTATTATATATAGCGTTGTCGACCGAATCCTCCTATGTATCCGAGTCCTCACCGAACCGATCTGGATCTTAAGCTCGAGCAGCCTGAGCACATAGTAGCTGCCCCAGAACCAATTGACAAGAGGACATGCCAGGAGGACGCGCCGCGGAAAGTCCCAAGGGACGCGCCAGGCGACGTGCCAAGGGACGTGCCATGGGACGCACCGCGGGACGTGCACAGGGGACGCGCTACGGAACGTGCTGGGGACAAGCGAATCGCTCGAGCGATCCTGTCAAAATCCTCATGTTAGGCATCCGTCTGATTGACCTGAACACGTGGAAACAAGCGTTTCGCTCAACACACCCTCAACACATTATCATGCTAGACTGCCGCCTGGGCGAACTGGATACGTGCAAACAAACGTCTCGATCGAGACATCCTCAAGACATCCTCATGCTAAAAGCCCGCGTGGGCGACAAGGGCGCGTGAAACCAAGCGTCTCGCTCGATACATCCTCAACATATCCTGGTGCTAGACCTCTCGCTCGAAATTTTCCTCAAGACATGGGAACGTGAAACCAAGCAACATGTTTAGTCTCTCGCACAGCGGTGGATGCGTCTCGAGTATCACGGGCAGCGTCTGCGCGCAGCCGCTGCCAGTCGTCCCACGGGGAGGCCACTCTGGACTGATACACAGAGCAATCATACAAACAGGGTGGGGGGAGGGCTAGTTGATCTCGTGAGACAAAGGCTGTCAGGAGACAAAAGGGGCGACAGGACGTGATCAACAAACATTTCTGCGAACGCACTCCCATGTTTAGCCCCTCACACAGCGGTGGATGCGTCTCGGGTCTCACGGGCAGCGTCTACGCGCAGGCGCTGCCAGTCGTCCCGAACCACCCCGAACCAGATGGTCACAGGACTAGAAAGCGAACACAACAGGGCACGGAAAAGACGGCCAAGAGACTAAATATCCGGTCGAAGACAGTCAGCACCCTCGAAGCTTAAATCTGGCGGGGGCTAGAAGGGCAAAGGCCAAATCGCAGGCAAGGGTGCGAGAATATGCGGCTGCTATAGCGGTCCAGTGAACTCCCGTCTCGGATTTCCCTGAAAGGTGCCAGTGCGCTTTCCCCGTGCGGGAGCACAGGCCTCTTCGGGCCCAGCTCTGCTTAACCATCCTACTACAGTCATGACCGCAAATATTGCCTGCGAAAAACGTGGTTCTCTTCCCCCACCGCGCACCGCACTGAAACTGGTCACACACAATTTCGAAACACCCAGATAAATCAAGCAGTTCGCGAAGGGCCGGATTTTTAGAAGCACGCGAACTACCTGGATTCAAGGGCCCCAAGGGACCCCATGGGCCACGCGCGCTCGAATGAGCTGAACACTAACTAGCTTTGACAGGGGCGCCCCCGTGATCGACACGGGCCTGCAAGTGAGAGGGCAAGCCTGGGAGTCTCATTGGATGGAGCTTCGACCTGGGGCGCCCTGCCTGGGCCATCGAAAAAGAGGCGCAGGGCAGCGCGATCACTGCTCCCGCGATTCCCCCCGCTCGGGCGTCCGAAAGCAACTTCGCCAGCGATGGCCGATGCAAAACATCCTCACCCTTCTTGATCTCGAGCTCACTACAAGCGTAACCCCGGCGGCGGGTGGCCCGTGCCAGTCCACCTGCCCCTAAGAAGACATCTATGTGCCACTGGCCCCGCGATTCTTCTAGCTGCAGGGCGTTGCGACCCTGCCCTGTGGAATATCATCCTCTAGCTGTCGTTCGCATCCCTGCGGGCGCTGCCCGAGGCTGAAGGAAAGCCGCAGCTCGCTGTGACGGGGCCCCGCATGTGTTGTGTATTTCGTCACTCCGCTGCCCACTATCCACCCTCTTTGCTGCTTCGCTCCGCCGAGGCGCTCCCAGCAGCTGAGTTCCCAGACCACTTCTTGAGACTTCTGACCGCCCGAGATACGCCGGAGAGGCTTGATGAATTGGAGCCAGGGGCTGTCTAACATCTCCAGGTGCCCGAACTCGCCCACCTCGCCGACAACTACCCTCTCCGTTGGCAGCAGCAGCAGGCCCCAAAATCTGCGGGCTCTCCACGTCGCCAGGCAGCTCTCGGGCCCCAACGCAAGGAGGCTGCCCAGACACAAGTAAGCAGTCACTGAGAGCAACGCGGCGGGCGCCACGTGCGCTCTTCCGCGCTTCACCATCTCGTCGGCCAGTCCAGCCCAGTGGCCGCCCAGCTTGGGTCGACGCGACCACCTGGGGGCTACCCGTCGCCGGCCCACGGGAGCTATGCCGCCCAATGGGGCACGCCGAACGCCGAACTGCCCGAGCCGCGGCTCCGCGTGCCTCCGCGCGGCCGTCGGTCCGGCCCCCCGACGAGCTTGCTTCTCCAGACAAAAGACCCGCGCGGTCGGGCGCACCAGCGACTCGTCGACGTCCGCGTAGGTCAGGACCTTGGACCCGGCCTGGTACCCCCCGTGGATCGCCCCCTGCACGGCCCGCCGTTCGAGCGAGCCCCCCGTCGCGTTCCGCAGCTCGCAGGCCGCCGACGCGTAGCTCACCGCCCCCCGTCTGCGAAGCCGCCGTGGCACTCGCTCCCTGCTTGCGACCGCCAGCTCGGCGCCCTCGGACGTCGTTCCAGTGCTGCTGGAGATGCTCTGCCCTGCAGCGCCCCAACCTGCATGACGCTGCGGCGAGTTGGATGTCGAGGGGGCCCCGCTCCTGCACCGGCGATGACTCCAGCGCCGGCCGGGCGGGCCTCTGGGCCGACCACCAGCCTTGAGAGGTGCCCATCCTTGACAGCAGCCGCGCAGGCCCTGGCTGCGGCTGCCCCGCCGCCTGCTGGACCGCGCTCGGCCCCCTCTTCCGCTCCGCGAGGCCCGCGGCCCTCGCCGACGCAGCGGCGAAGGGCGCCGCCGGCGCCGCCGGCGCCCAACGCCTGATCGGCGCCCTGGGGCCGCCCGGCGCCTGGCCATGAGTCGCCGCCATTGTCTGGAACACGGAGGCGCTCGCCAGAATCTCGATCGACGCCGGAAGGGGCAGACGCCCCGCTGGTTTGAATCCAAACGGCCACGGGATTCGACGGCGGTAGACAGCCGGGCGGCGACGAAGACGGGGGGGCAGTAGCCTCATCCAGAATAGACCTCTCGTCGCAGGTCTGCGCTCCATCAACCTTGAAATGACCCTCCCCCCGAGACGTGCACTCTGCCCCGTTCGAAAGGTAGTGAATTCGACAGGAGCCGTCGGCACTGTTGAGCTCTGGCGGCATCCACCGCGCCACCGCGTGTCGATTCCTCGCGAGGCAGTATCTGCAGAAACGACGCACTTGATTCAGAAAAAAGGAAGTCTCTTGCACGACATCTATCGAATGCCAAGCAGACAGGCAGATTATCTACCAACAACAATTGACGAAGGTTGTCCAAAAATGAGAAGAGCAACCCTACGAAGGTTCATCGCCAGTGCGCGGGCCTCGAGGTGCACAATCTCCTGTTTCCAACGCCAGGGCTCCCCAAAAGTCAGGCTCCACAACTGCGGGATCAAGCCGACCCGAGAGACCTCCCAAAACTCAGGGTCGAGGTCCCGGACGCCCGGGAGCAGCGCCGCCCTTGAACCTAGAGATCACCCTAACAAGCTCTCGGCACGACTCAAAAGGGCCTCGGAGGCTTCTTCGACGATATCCTCCCCCAAAGCAGAAGCTCGGGCGTTCACGGCTTCGGGCGCCAAAAACCTGCCCCTCTCGCGACGCCGCCCAGTCTCCTGCGCCAGGTCTAGGGGCCACCGAGCCTCGGTCCCGCCAAGGCCGTATTCCGAGGCGTCAGAGGCGACTACGAGCAAGAGAACGGTCAGGCCAGAGAAGACACGAATATCGTCAATCACACTAGGCCACAGAGGTTTCACGCGAAGATAACGGTCTGAACAAAGGCGCAGCAGGCGTGAAAACGAGCGAGCGCAGGCCGCCGTGACATTGCCAGGAAGACCAGCAACACCTCCAGCGCGCTGCCTGTGCAACGCCCGCGCTGGAAGAGCCCAACAATCGCCTGCCGGGCCCGCAGCCTCCTCTTGCCCGACGCCCGCGTCTGCATCAACTGCCCGTCATCCTCCACGCCCAGCACCTCCGTGAACCCAGAGGTGACGGCCTGCTCGTGGACCAGCAGCCCCTTCCGGGTGAAAGCGTCGGTCACGCCCTCAAGCGTCTTCTCGACCATGGCCCCGTCTGTTCCCACCACGCCCATGTTGTCGACGTAGATGTAGTGCCCGAGGGAACCCTGTCGCTCGCAGCCCAGCACCAATGGTCGCCCGCGATCCCGCAGCAGGATGTCCGGGCCCAGCGGCTTGACGCTTCCAGCGAGTTCCTCTCCAGACACCTGGCAGTAGAACGAGCTGCACGAGAAACCCATCGGGAAAGCCACTGGGCAGGGCCACGCCTGCTGGTTGCCCGTCAGCAGCTGCCTCTCCACCGTTTTGCCGGCGACTCCCAGGGCTCCACTCCGAGCGGGTGGGAAGCAGAAGTAGCGCCGCAAGGTGGGCGTCCGCAGGCGGTGGAAGGCATCCTTCACGTCGGCTATGTCCACCGTGATGGACAGGCTCTCGCACAGCTCGCCCACCAGCTCGGTCACGGGCATCTCGCGGGTGCCAGATCAAGCTCGATGCCACTCAAGCCCTCCGCGGTGATCAGGTCCACGCTGGGGGGACGCCTGAAGTGCTGGTTTGAACGCCGAGCATCAAGAATAAATCGTTGTCGTTCACGGCCCTCCTTCCACGCGCAGAAGATGCCGACTCTCTCGAGCGGCTCCAGCGTGAAGTCGTCAGGTCCTTCAACCAAAACACTGTGCATTGTCTTGCGGTTCACCAAGGCGGGATCGCAGTAGCACTGAGTGCCGTCGCGCGCGAGGTCGGACTCAGCCTCGCTCAGGCCTGGGAGGGAGGCGGGGGTGGGGGGGGCTTCGCTCTGTCGGGGTGGGGGCGGGGGCGGGGGGCTGACGCCATTCAGGCCCGGGAGGGAGGAAGGGGGTGAGAGGGGGGGCTGACGCCATTCAGGTCAGGCCCCGGGGGGGGAAGGAGGATGGAGGGGGGGACGCCATGGGGATGGGAGGGGGGGGGGGGGGGAACGCCATGGCTGACGCCATTCAGGCCTGGGAGGAGGAAGTCGGGGGGAGGGGGCTGACGCCATTCAGACTCGGGAGGGAGGAGGGGGGGAGGGGTTTCGCTCTGTCGGGGGGGGGGGGGGCTGACGCCATTCAGGCTCGGGAAGGAGGAGGGGCGGGAGGGGGGGCTGACGCCATTCAGGCCCGGGAAGGAAGAGAGGGGGGGGGGAACGCTATGGCTGACGCCATTCAGACCCGGGAAGAGGAACTCGGGGGGAGGAGAGGAAGGGGGGGCTGATGCCATTCAGGCCCGGGAGGGAGGAGGGAGGGGGAGGGGGGGGCTGACGTCATTCAGGCCCAGGAGGGAGGAGGAGGGGGGGGGAACGCCATGGGGAGGAGGGGGGGGACGCCATGGCTGACGCCATTCAGGCCCGGGAAGAGGAACTCGGGGGGAGGGGGGGGGGAGGGGGGGGGAGCTGACGCCATGCATGGCTGACGCCATTCAGGCCCGGGAGGGGGATCTGGAGGGGGGCATTGCTGACGCCATTCAGGCTCGGAAGGTGGGAGGGGACATCCCATGAGTTTGGCTATTCACGCGAGATCGTCACTTTCGAATATCCGAAGGTTGCCCAAGCGAGTTCAACATCTCTATCGTATGAGGATGTCTCGAGCGAATGCTCTACTTTAAAACATACAAGGTCATTCGTTGCAAGCAGAATCGGTAGCACCCCGGATCGGCGGCACTGGCCGGAGGCCTCTACAATAATTTCGCCGGCCCTACAACTGTCGATTCTGCGGGTAAACAACAAACAGAGAATCCTGGGATCAGGCCCATTCCGAGAAAAAACAACGAGAGGTTTCACATGTTACGGCTCCCGTTGCTCGAGCGTCGCACTACACAATGCGACTCCGAGTTCATTGCCCGAATTACTCTGCAGAACTGTTGTGGTGCTCCTGAGAGAAAGCTTTGCAACAATTTCGGGGGGCGTTCAACAATAAGTCACCAACATACGATCTTGATGTGTCGTACGCACATGGAGCGCAGAGCATGGGCTGATGCTGTCTGCGAGCTGCTAAAATCTTGATTGGTTGGTATGTTTGTGCGCGACGTTCGATACGCCCAAACGAAAACAGCCGCACTACGGCCTCTGATCCGAACGTGTTCCCCGATGCACCGTTAAAAAATAGTGCAGACGAATAAATCGAGGGCCTTCGCCTCGGGGATGTTCTCGGACAAATACTTCTTGGTCAACGCAGGGAACAAGATGGGATCCTCCATTGTCGCGCTGGCTGCGGCATCAAACACTTGTCCGTCCATGCCCGATGAACCCGCGCAACGGATCCACGGACTGTCTGCGATGGGTGCGATGCGCAACTGCAAACGGCTGGCTCTTGCAAACCCCAATCTCATTAAACTGTGCTGTCGCTGAAACGGAAAGGCACACACAAGCATTCACACCCACGCACACACACATCCTTTTGGCCATCGAACCCACAGTTCAACCTGATCGACCCACGAACTCGGAAAGGAATATAGAAATGTAGAGCATGGCAACGTTGTCAACGACACCTGATTGGGTGACGGGCAAATGCAATGCTGAATGTACCGATCCTGATGTACCCTGCCGAGGGCTGTGCTGTGCTGCACCGTGCTGACTTGCGATTTGCCATGCCGCGATTGTGCTATATAGCGTCGGGGATCGAGTCCTCCTTTGCATCCGAGTCCTGACAGAACTGATCTGGATCTGAAGCTCGAGCTGCCTGAACACATAATAGCTGCGCTAATTGACAAAGGGACATGCCAGGAGGACGCGCCGCGAAACGTCCCAAGGGACGCGCCAAGCGACGTGCCAGGGGACGTGCCATGTGGTCGCACCGCAACACGTGCCAACGGGACGCGCTACGGAACGTGCCAATGGATGTGACACGGGATGTGCCAGGGGACGAGCCACGCGACGTGCCAAAGGACTCGCCAAGGGACGCCCCACGGAACGTGCCAAAGAACGTGCCAAGTTGCAATGCTGAATGTATCGATCCTGATGTGCCTACCGCGCCGAGGGCTGTGCTGTGCTGCGCCGTGCTGAATTGCGATGTGCCATGCCGCGATTGTGCTATATAGCGTCGTGGATCGAGTCCTCCTTTGCATCCGAGTCGTGACCGAACTGATCTGGATCTTAAGCTCGAGCTGCCTGAACACACAGTAGCTGCCCCAACGCTAATTGACAAGGGGACATGCCAGGAGGACGCGCCGCGAAACGTCCCAAGAGACGCGCCAAGCGACGTGCCAAGGGTCGTGCCGTGGGGACGCACCGCGGGACGTGCCTTCAAGGGGGTGCAATACAGAACGTGCCAATGGAAGTGCCACAGGACGTGCCAAGGGACGCACCACGCGACGTGCCAAAAGGACTCGCCACAGGACGCGCCACGGAACGTGCCAGGGCACGTGCCAAGTTGCAATGCTGAATGTATCGATCCTGATGTGCCTACCGCGCCGAGGGCTGTGCTGTGCTGCGCCGTGCTGAATTGCGATGTGCCATGCCGCGATTGTGCTATATAGCGTCGTGGATCGAGTCCTCCTTTGCATCCGAGTCGTGACCGAACTGATCTGGATCTTAAGCTCGAGCTGCCTGAACACACAGTAGCTGCCCCAGAGGTCATTGACAGGGAGAAGTGCCAGGAGGACGCAGCGCGGAACGACCCAAGGGACGCGCCAGGCGACGTGCCACGGGTCGTGCCATGAGGACGCACCGCGGGACGTGCCAAGGGGACGCGCTACGGAACGTGCCAATGGACGTGCCACAGGACGTGCCAGGGGACGCGCCGCGCGACGTGCCAGGGGGACTCGCCACAGGACGCGCCACGGAACGTGGCAGGGAACGTGTTAAGTTGCAATGCTGAGTGCCTGGGCGACCTGGACACGTGAATACACGCGTATCTCTCGAGACATTCTCAACACATCCTCATGCTAGGCATCCGGCTGGGCAACCTGGACACGTGCAAACAAGCACCTCGATCGAGACTTCCTCATCACATCCTCATGCTAGACATCCGCCTGGGCGACGAGGACGCGTGAAACCAAGCGTCTCGCTCGAGACATCCTCAACAATTCCTGGCGCTAGACCTCTGCCTGGGCAACCTGGAGGCGTAAAACCGAGAAAGAGAAGCCAGGAAACAGATCCGAGGGGGGAGCGCGGGGAAGCAAGTGGGAAGCACTGCAGGCCGCAATTCCAAGTCGCTATCTGCGTGTGCCCAGCCAGAGAATTGGTGTGAGACGCAGTGGGGGCGAGATGGAGAGAGCGAGAGATAGAGAGAGAGAGAGAGAAAAAAAAAAAAAGGATCGACCCACGAACCAGGAAAGGAACATAGAAATGACAAACATGCGTTTCGCTCGAGACATCCTCAAAACAAATTCCGCTGGCCCCAGGCGACCTCGTTATTTATCGCACAATAGTTTCGCCGGCCCTAGAGCCGTCGGTTCCGGGGGTAGACAGCTAAAAAAAACCTGGGCCCCCGCCCTTTCCGGGAAAACGAAAAACATAGAGACTGATATTGAGAGAGTGAGAGAGCGTGGAGAGAGCGAGAGGGAGGCAGAGAGCGAGAGGGGAAGAGGGGAAATTAAGGAGCGAGCGGGGGAAACATTATCCTGGCGAAGGACCCAACCATATGCAGTTGTGGGTACCGCAATTGTAAATATCTTCTTCAGTGAAGCTCCCTATGGGGCCACGAAGCGCTGCACTGAGTGGGGGGAACGCATGCGGGCGGTAGCACTGGGGCCTTCGGTGGAGCTCCCTATGGGGCCACGGACCGCTGTAGTGGGTGGATGAAGGTGCCAAATTGAATGAGTGGGACGCATGCGGACGGTCGCACTGTGGCCTTCGATGGAGCTCTCTACGGGGCCACAAAACGCTGTACCGGGTCCGTGAAAATGCCAAATTGGGCTTCCGGGACGCATGCGGACGGTCCCACTGGGGTCTTCGGTGGAGCTCCTCATGGGGCCACGAAACGCTGTACTAGGTGGGTGAAACTGCCAAATTGGGTGTGCGCGACGCATGCGGACGGTCCCACTGGGGGCTTCGGTGGAGCTCACGATTGGGGCCACGAAGTGTGTAATGGGTGCGTGAAAATGTCAAATTGCGCGTGCGGGACGCATGCGGGCGGTCCCACTGGGGGCTTCGGTGGAGCTCCTCATGGGGCCCAATCGGGCGTGCTGGACGCATGCGGACGGCCCCACTGACCACGAAACGCTGTACCGGGTGTGGCGGACGCATGTGGCCACCCCCACTGGGGCCTCCGATGGAGCTTCCAATGGGGCCACGAGACGCTGTACTGGGTGTGGCGGACGCATGTGGCCACCCCCACTGGGGCCTTGGATGGAGCTCCCTCTGGGGTCACGAAACGCTGTACTGGGTGTGGCGGACGCATGTGGCCACCCCCACTGGGGCCTTGGGTGGGGCTCCGTATGTGGCCACGAATCGCTGTACTGGGTGTGGCGGACGCATATGGTATACCCCACTGGGGCCTTAGGTGGACCTCCCTATGGGGCCATGAAGCGCTGCACTGGGTCTGGCGGACGCATGTGGCCACCCCCCGAAGGGCCATCGGTGGAGCTCCCGATGGGGCAACGAAGCGCCGTACTGGGTGTGGCGGACACATGTGGTACACTCCACTGGGGCCTTCGGTGGAGCTCCCTATGGGGCCACGAAACGCCGTACTGGGTGTGGCGGACGCATGCGGTTCACCCCACTGGGGCCTTAGGTGGGGCTCCCTATGGGGCCACGAAGCGCTGTGCTGGGTGTGGCGGACGCATATGGTACACCCCACTGGGGGGGAGGGGCACGGGAGGAGGAGAAGGAGACGCGGGGCCCGTTTCTTCAAAACGAGGACCCAACACCTCAAGATGGTTGGGAACAACTGACTTGTGCGGACCGGGGCGACACACGAGAGGAGCAGGGAAGCTGGCACCGGCAAGAGCGGAGAAGGCAGCCGAGAAGAAAGAAGGGACCACGGGTACCACAACGGAAGGGCAAGGACACACGAATGGGACGCACAGAGACATACTAGTACTATATGTCCTCCTTCGAGGCGCGCGTCCGACCCGAACATATAGTATACACAAGGCTCAAACATACACAACTTCACACTGTAATTGTGTTCTCCCCGATCCGTTATCAGGTCAGGCCAGACGGCCTCCACGCAATGATGATACATGTGTTCTGCCTCTTTCTTCTTGCAGGTGCGTCCTCACCACATATGTTGCACGAGACCAGCAATGTTGGGGCAGGTGGGACAGACGAAGTACATTCGACAATGTGGAGCAGTTTATAGACATAAATATGTGTATTCCATGGTCTGAAGGATGTTGGCTATAGAGACTTATGGCACGTATCCCATAAGAAGCATGATAAAGACATGCACGCTCTTCATGGGAATGGGCCGTTGTCCAAAGAGCAAATCGACGCGCTGAAGGACCCAGATACCATCATCAGCTTCACAAAAGACAATGCTAGATATACTGGAACGAAAGCCTGGGCACGGTACGAACACTATAAGGAGACGACAATAAAAGAGGCGACTTCTGGGAATAAACATGAATAAAAAACTTATTGGGTTGATCTGACAGATGATTTTGAAACATGATCGACCCACGAACCCGGAAAGGAATATTGAAATGTAACGCATGGCAACGTTTTCAAAGACAACTGATTGGGTGACGGGCACATGCAATGCTGAGTGTATCGAGCTTGATGTACCCTGCCGAGGGCTGTGCTGTGCTGCACCGTGCTGAATTGCGATGTGCCATGGCGCGATTGTGCTCTATAGCGTCGTGGATCGAGTCCTCCTTTGCATCCGAGTCCTGACAGAACTGATCTGGATCTGAAGCTCGAGCTGCCTGAACACATAGTAGCTGCCCAAGAGCTAATGGACAGGGGAACATGCCAGGAGGACGCGCCGCGAAACGTCCCAAGGGGTGGCGCCAGGCGGCGTGCCAGGGGACGTGCCATGGGGTCGCACCGTGGGACGTGCCAAGGGGACGCGCTACGGAAGGTGCCAATGGATGTGCCACGAGACGTGCCAGGGGACGCGCCACGCAACGTGCAAGGGGGACTCGCCAAGGGACGCCCCACGGAACGTGCCAAGGAACGTGCCAAGTTGCAATGCTGAGTGTATCGATCTTGATGTACCGTGCCGAAATCTGTCCTGTGCTGCGCCGTGCTGAATTGCGATGTGCCATGCCGCGATTGTGCTCTAGCTTCGTGGATCGAGTCCTCCTTT